GAGGGAGGGAGGGAGGGAGGGAGGGGAGGAAAGGAGGGAGGAGAGGAAGGAAGGAAGGGAGAGAGGGAGGGAGGGAGGAAGAGTAGGTATGAGTAGGTCGTGTGTTACTAAAAACCACATATAAGGCCTTCGTGACTATTCTGATGATGCTTGTGAGTTCTCTACATCTCAGACCATCTGACCTAATATTTTCTCAGAAGAGAACAGAAACATGGAAAACATGTGAGGGGAGAAGATTTATATCCCTAAACAAAAAGAAACACTGAACCAGCAATGAAAATAGAGACATATCCAATGAAACATTGGTGAGAGGTCATTTATTTGAGAGTCTCCAATAAGTTCGAATGTCAGAAAGAAACATTTTGAAGAAATTTTGAAATACTGTAGATGCTATCATTTGAGAGAAAGTTACAGATGCTATAGCACTGCGGGGGGGGGGGGGGGCGGGGTAGAATTATTGGAAGCAGCCAGGATTATTAAACCGAGAGGACAGACTCTCTGATGTACTAACATCAGTATCACCTGGAAATGTGTCAGAAATGTGTATTGTAGAGCCTCACACCAGACTTACTGAATCATTAACTCCAAAGTTTGGACCCTGGAATGCGGCTTAACAAGCCTTCAGTGTGAGTCTGAGAGCCATTGAGTTTAATAAATTATAGTTTAAAATGTCTAGGGGTGGGGGATTTATATTCCACTGTCTCCCTTGGTGTGTCTTAGTTGACCTGTACAGGTAAGTGTTATGCAGATACAGGACATCTTAGTTGCTCTTTATGGCTAGGCATTATGTAGATATGAGACAATTTCTCAACTATACAATGGATGATCACTTATGTAGGTAGTGAGTATTCATGCATTTTTCTAGCATTCAACCTGCTCAGCAGCAATTGGCTTTGTGAACACCTGGAAGTCAAAATTAAATTATGCACTGATACCCAAACACAGGCAAATAGAAAACTGCATGACAAATATATGGTTGTTTGCATCCTTATGAAATACTGGACATATAAATACTAAGATTTTAAATATTATGTTAGCAGTGCAGTTGTAACAGAAATACTACCATCTTGAAGTAAATTTAATGCTAAGATATGCTTATAAAACAGCAATTATAGTTAAAAATAGAAATATCAGACTCTAATTCCTTCCCATCCTTCATTGAGATCCAAGTAGTCACTAAAAATTATGAAGGCAAAAGGAGAGTAATGGGAAATGAGAAAACAGCTTGTAAAGCAGTATTATTATACTTATGTTGAGTACACTCCGATTACTGTTCTTTGACCCTTTCTGTACTCGGACTCAAACCCAGGGCCTTACACATGCTAGGCCAGTGTTCTACCACTGAGCTACATTTATTCCCAGGTTTTATTTGACTTCCAGTTAAATTAAAACACAGACTAAAGCAACAGTGATAAACCATGGATGTAGGATCCTCCTTAAGCAGCCATGTAATGTCATCAAGACAATAGTGATTTACAAAGAAAACATCTCTGTCAGAGTACCTGCCTCTGTGAGCTCTCCTAACTGGCAATTCACTTGGTAAGAGGGCTATTTCCTCATGTATGCTATTGTTATAATGGATAATGTAGGGTTATGTGACTCCAACTAATCTTGATTTGTCTTTTCAAATCAAATTAACTACCACATTCCCAAAGACTACTAACATTTTTCTAATTTTATAAACTGCCACCTATAGTATTTTTTCTTCTGTCTCTCTATGTAGCCTCTACATTATGGCATCAAATACATTACAAATATCCATTATAATTTTATCATGTAACATTGAATTAAATACAAATATTCTTTACCATTTTTAAATGCCATCTTTAATGTTCTCAGGCTATATTACAAAATACACAAGTAGAAAATATTAACATGTACTTTTTAACATAGCTTCTGTTGTATACAAAAAGAAAAAGGTCAGAGCTAATATACTGTTTAAAACAATTTCATAGTCATGAGGGATTTATTGGATAATTGCTTAGTTTACTCATAGAAATTACTTTATGGAAGAACATTTTAATAAATGTTTTGAAAGTTACTATTTGTTAGTTTTCTCATTGGATTTCTTAAGTAAGAAAAAAATATGAACTCCAATTTTTAGTCTATAGAATGCTCTAGGGAAGCATGCACATATTTTTTTTCTCTTCTAAAAACAAGAAAACAGTACTTGAAACTTTCTCTGAACTCTGTTTCCCCCTCCTTTGTTACAGGTGTTCCTTTCTTCAACTATATTAACCTTTTAAACAAAAAAAATGGATTTTTTAAACTCGTCAGACCAAAACTTGACTTCTGAGGAACTGTTAAACCGAATGCCATCCAAAATTCTGGTATCCCTCACTCTGTCTGGGCTGGCATTGATGACAACCACCATCAACTCCCTTGTGATCGCTGCAATCATTGTGACTCGGAAGCTGCACCACCCAGCCAACTATTTAATTTGTTCCTTGGCAGTTACAGATTTTCTTGTAGCTGTCCTGGTGATGCCTTTCAGTATTGTGTACATTGTGAGAGAGAGTTGGATTATGGGACAAGTACTCTGTGACATTTGGCTGAGTGTTGACATCATCTGTTGTACATGTTCCATCTTGCATCTGTCGGCTATAGCCTTGGATAGGTACCGAGCAATCACAGATGCAGTTGAGTACGCCAGGAAAAGGACTCCCAGGCATGCTGGCATCATGATTACAATAGTGTGGGTTATATCTGTGTTCATCTCTATGCCACCTCTCTTCTGGAGGCACCAAGGAACTAACCGAGATGATGAGTGTATCATCAAACATGACCACATTGTTTCCACAATTTACTCCACGTTTGGAGCTTTCTACATCCCGCTTGTATTGATATTGATCCTCTACTACAAAATATACAGAGCAGCAAGGACACTATACCACAAGAGACAAGCAAGTCGGATGTTGAAGGAGGACCTGAATGGCCAAGTCCTTTTGGAGAGTAGTGAGAAGAGCATTAAACTGGTCTCCACATCGTACATGCTAGAAAAATCCTTATCCGATCCATCAACAGACTTTGATAGAATTCATAGCACAGTGAAAAGTCCCAGGTCGGCGTTGAAGCATGAGAAATCTTGGAGAAGACAGAAAATCTCAGGCACTAGAGAACGCAAAGCAGCCACTACCCTGGGATTGATTTTGGGTGCATTTGTAATATGTTGGTTGCCCTTTTTTGTAAAAGAGTTGGTTGTTAATGTCTGTGAAAAATGTAAGATTTCTGAAGAAATGTCAAATTTTTTGGCATGGCTTGGTTACCTTAATTCCCTTATAAATCCACTGATTTATACCATCTTTAATGAAGATTTCAAGAAAGCCTTCCAAAAACTTGTACGATGCCGATATTAGGATAAAAGAAGCCTATTTTTAAATGGTGGAGGCTTTACTTGTTGGGAGGATAACTAAATGAATGTACAATAATAAAACATTTAAATTTTTAGAGAAAATATATTAAGACTGCTAAAATTATAAGAGGATAAATTTATTTTTAATAACACCAAGAAAATAAGATGTATTAATCTGGCCATCATTTTAATGTTCTCAAGATTAGGAAATTATTTATGCAGCTCAGCTCACAATATTTTGTCTATGCAATATACCTAAGAAGCTAACTAGAAATACGTATATATATATACATACATACTATCAATTACAATGCTTTCCAGGTCTATATATTTATTGCAATGACTAGAAAAGGATGGGTTTTGGTTTTTTTTTGGGGGGGGGGGGGGGGTGTGGTTTGGTTTGGTTTGGTTTGGTTTGGTTTGGTTTGGTTTGGTTTGGTTTTTTTTGAGACAGGGTTTCTCTGTGTAGCCCTGGCTGTCCTGGAAGAGAAAGTTTTAACTAGCATTTTTCCATTGGTAATTTCTATATCACCACTAATTTATAAAAGAAATATTCACTGCAATGCTACTATTGCCCCTTCTCCATCTTATCCACTACACAGGTGAAGACACAGCAGCAGCAGCTCTTACTTAGCCTTATTAGAGAAGATTCAGAGCTCAGTGGCTTTGATAGTGCCCTCATATTTGGACAGTAAAAAAAAAAAATCATCTGGTGAGCTAAATATGGAAAAATATTTCAATATCCTGAACTTTCTGCACATTTGCAATCTTTATTTTGTTTAATATTAAGTTCTAGAATAGTGTTATCTTAATCATATGTCAGTATTTGAAGTCAAAGTCCCAAGGTTAGGGAGAAGATCTATTATGCAATTATAGTATAATTGTTATATACATTGCCCCTTGTTTAGGAATCAAATTTTAAACACTGAGTATCTTAACTAACTCACCATAATTAACATACTTCTAGTGTAAAATTTATTTTCTTTCCACTAATGTTATTAAGTCGAGTTTTTATAATTCATTTCGGTATCTTAAGATCCGAACATCATTTCCTTTTAGTATAGAGAATATAAAAAATACTAAAACTTAGCTTTGACTTTACAAAAAAATATATTTTTCCTATTATAATTAGGACACCTTTCATAAATCAAGACTATCTGAAAAACAACATATTTGAAAAACAGCACAGCTCTTTAAGTTGCAACATTGTATGCATTATAAAATATCCTTTCCTTCTGGAAAGAGTTCATTGCATCACTTTTTATGTATCTAAGAGACATTACTCGGTTTAACAGATATCTAGAGATGTGATTTTTGTATAATGCAATGAGACATGTGCTAGATAGAAACTACAGGAAATAATAAAATACAAACTCTTCTATTAACATATCTATAATCTAAAAGAAGAAAGAATGTAGAATTATACTGGAAGAAAATAAACAAAGATCTAGCAGGTGAGTTATTTACATAGTTGTGATGGTATAGAGACAAGCTGATCACATCTGGTTGGGGAGCACTGGGGCATTTTCATAAACAATATATCTAAAATGTGTGTCGAGTAAAATAGAATCTGAGCATGTGCAAATGAAAGGGCATAGTCCAGGTGGGGACAACATAAAGAGCTCAGGCTTCATTATGCAAGGATTGTAGGACATGCCAAAAGTCATGTGAAAGTTTTTCACGGTGCGCAGCTTGTAACAGATCACAGCAGACTAGATGGTTCCACGAGGGGAGATTTATTAAGAGAGAGGGAGAGCAGGAGGAGAGAGAGAGTGGAGAGGGTAGAGGCTGGCCATGACCACTTGGAGAGAGGGGGAACGGAAGGGAGGAGGGGAGACGGCAACCTGCAGGTGCGGGTCAACGGAGCAAGAGAGAGTAAGAAGGAGAGGAGGGGGCAAGCAGCCCCTTTTATAGTGGGCAGGGTTACCTGCCTGTTGCCAGGTAACTGTGGGGCGGAGCGTACCTGGCCATTTCCAAGTAACTGTGGAGGTGGAGTTTAACAGATTACTAACATTCCCACGTTTTGATTTAATTAAAAAGAAAAATTAGAAAGAGGTGACGGCAAAGCAGGAATAGGGTCGTTGTGAAATCTGATTACTTCCTGCTGACATTAGGGGCGATGTGTCTCTAGGGGGAACCTAGAAGACTGGGAAGTGTTTGTCCAGTCTTAGGAGAACTGGCTGTTTTCTGATGTCCAGGGTCTGTGGAGCGAGCTATCTGAGGATAGGCCAGAAGGAACAGGTCCAGTAGAAGCAGCAGCTGTGTGTGTGGCAGGAGATGGAGCATATGAAGGTTGCTTCTCTGGAGCTGTTTTGGATGCACGTGGACTTGACAAGATGTAGGAAATAAGATTAAGAACACTTGGAGAAAGAATTTTTTCTAAGATGTACATTTGAAACCCAGAGGGATCCCACTCTTTGTTATAGGTAGTAAGTGGGAATTTTAGGCAGAAGTACTTATCTGGATGGTATCTATTTGGTCCATGAGAGGTAGATCTGAGTGGGTTTCCTGTAGCTTATAAGTTTTTAAAACAGATAACAGCATGAGTTAACACAAGTAGTCTTTCAACTGAGTTTAGATAATGAGGTAACAGATAATATCTGTGAAAACTTAGCTGTTAATGTAGTCAGAAGTCTGATAAAGAGTAAACAACAATCTACCAGTTATATATTATTTTTTTAAAAATGACAGAGTCCACTAGCCAACAGTTCCTGTGGTTTCCATAGTCTCTTAGGCGAAGTCAGTTTGGTTTCTAAGCACAGAAGCCACAGGGCTTTTTTCTGTGGAATGGATACACATGACATGAGAAATGACTTACCTTGTTTTAGCCAAGTCATTTGACTCAGGGTATCCAATTGTGTTTGTCCACATACAATCTAGGCTGTATGTTCTAGGAGTCCGGCGTCCAGGTCTTCTGAAATCATCTTGGGCTAACTGTTAGAGGCTTTGGGCATTCTGTCGGCCATAAACTTAAAATATACGATTAGCAGACTTCTGAAAAAATTGAGAGCCATAAGGATTGGTTGTAACTGAATAAAAATATATCGATGTAGGTTAGGAAAGAATCTTAAGTAACTTTGGCGGGTTGTATAGGAAGAGTGGTTTAAGACAACAAAGGAAGTCAGATTAAAGGTAAACTTCAACATTGTGACTGGCTTTAAAGTCAAGAAAAGAATTGTACTGTCTATCTTGCTACTACCCTCGAGTTATCAATGATGATTTTCAAAAATAATACAACCTTAGAGCAAATCTGAAATAAAGTGGATAGGGAGGAAAAGCTTCTCTGAGTAGATCTGAGAAGCAGAGAGAGTACTGGAAATACTTTCTTCTTGCTAGAAACCAATTCAATAGTCAAGGTGATGAAGTGCTACGCTTGATTCTGGCAGTAGAAATAAAAGGAAAGAAAAGGGAAGAAGTGATGTAAAGGAGGATCCATACATTACAGCCTGTACGTCAGTAAGATAGCAGAACAGTCTGAGCTCCTACAATCTGTGACTGAGACAAGGAGACTAACTACAGGATATCTTAGTAAAACGATGTGCTGAAGCTCACAGGCACTGCTGACCACTTCGAGACTTATCAAAACTGTTGGATGAGTTCTGACCTCAGAACTGACAGACAAACGAGATCCCCAACCACATGCTTTGTCCCTACAGCACTCTGCCTCTGCCCTCATGCCTTGTGTCTTCCCTCACATTCTCTTTCTTTTCTTTTACCCTCTCACTTGCCAACATTTGACTTTGTCTGTGACCTATTTGACCAAAGACCTTTCCACCTCCTGCCTCTGCCACCACTGCACGGCTGGGAAAACTCTTAAGATAGACAAATCACTAACCATTTCAAGCAAAACAAACCCAAGTACAAATGCTGTCCTTAGATCTAAGTTGGAGCAAATCTCAGATCAAGAAATATAATGCCAAGTAACGAAGAAGTTGCATTTATCTCCCTTGAGAGCTCAGGAGAAAATCCAATTCACTTTCTACATTGTAGAGTCATCATTTGATTCAAAGATGCTGCAACACACAGCAATATTAGTTCATCTGCATTTATCCCATAAACTGAGGTTGCAGGCTAATGAATGAATAAGTATGCACTAAAGAATAAGTATCAGTGATACCTTTTCAATATCTTTAAATATTGGTAATGTAAGGGACTTAAAATGGCCAATTTGCACTTTCTTTGAAATATGTGCCGTTGACAAGTCCAGTTAGTAAGATGGACTTCTCAGAATATAAATACTTTATCCTTTGAACGACAATTTTCTAAGTAGCTAAAAGCCATCAAAAAGAAAAAATAATGCAATATGATAGCTCTTTTCTTAACAAATAAAACAGAGGAGGAAAACATAAATATCATCAAAAATTATTAAATACAGGATAAAAGCTTACTTCCTTCTAGAATCTTAATATAGCGGCACCATAAAATCCATCAAAGGCTTTATTTTATTAAGTGATCTTCTAAATCTCTTCAAATGGAGGATGTATTAAAAACAAAAACATGACACCAAAGAAATAAGAAAGTTAAATGATTGGGTATCAAAATTAGTCCAATATGTTAGTACACATAGCTGTATACAGACTGTGTTTAAATGTCACATGCTAAAACATTTGTTTTGAATTTAATTTAAAAATATGAACTGTCTGGTCTATGTGTTTTTTGTTTGTTTGTTTGTTTTTAGTATAGAATAGAGTTTATTCAGGGTATGGAGAGTGGAGTTAAGAGGGTAGTAGAGGCAAAGAGAGAGAGAGAGAGAGAGAGAGAGAGAGAGAGGTGGGTCATGAGCACGTGGAGAGGGAAGGGAAGGGGGAAGGAGTGAGGGGACAGAAGGATCAAAAGAGAGCAAGAGAGCAAAACCTATGTGGTTTTTTTATTTGTTTGTTTGTTTTGTTCTTTTATTTTTGTTTACAAAACCTGTCACAAATATCTAGTTAGTGGAAAGTGATGACCCCATCTTTAAGAACAAACTACCTTATGAATGTAGAAAACCGTTCCTATTTTTGTTTCACTGATGAGTTTGATTCTCTGGCTGTCTGCACCTGACCTAACTAGGGTATCCATCTTCCCTGCTGCATCATTGTGCTAGTAACAATTTCATCTCCTTGCCATAGCCAAAGTCCCATAGCCACGCCCTCCATTTTAATCTTGTGCCTTTTACCTAGATTTTCTAATAGAAATAAGTAGGAAAGCAATTTAAATCCAATTGCTGTGGAATATCATGAAGGCAGACGGTGTCATAAACTCATCGC